GGGATGAATTAGGTATCACCTTGTGACACAAGGGACAAGACTTAAATTATGACATAAATTAAAAAAGAAGCAAACAAAAAAACCACACAAAAACAAACTGCCACTTGGACACCAAAAAATGCCACTTTACTGACCTGTCAATGCCAGTGTTTCCAGTTAAGAAACTGCTGCAGGGAAGCTGATGGAGCTTCTTCTCATCTCTGGCTGTTGCAAGGCGTACGTGACGCAGCACGCTAGTAACAGCAGAATTTGAGGCACATGTTCATATTTAACAAGGACTGTTTGACTGAGTTCTTTCATAAAGCTTTTCAATCACTACCTTCAAATATATTCTACCAATTAATTCAAAACCACGGATTAATTCTTCAGGTTCATTTTATTAGCAATGATGAATATAAATCTCTTATGAAAATATTCTTAACATTTCAATAGATAAGAATTGTCTATAAAAATATACTACTACATAACAAAGCCGGTAACTTCTACAAAACATACAATTCAACATATATTTAACAATATATAGGACATAGTAAAAATCCTTTCATTAATGCTGAGGGTATTTTTTTACCCTCTTTTTGTCAAACAATAACTCACATAACATAGGAAATTACTCATTCTGTTATACAGAAGTGTTATCACCATAGAGGTCTATGTATGTTCCACCCTGAAGCGACCTGCATCTGCAGGAACATAAAGCCACGACTCTTCTTTGGATGGACAGGCAGTTACGACCACAAAAACATCCTGCTGCCAGCTGCACCGTCTTTTTGCTGCCCCTCGGCTGCCAGCACTGCCCACCCTGCATCCACGCAGGAATAGAGGCGATGCTTCTACTGCCACGGTGGGACTGATGCCACAGCCAAGCCTGCCGTGATTGCTATGGTTAGAGAGCTGGAAAACAGACTCTACCTGGTTAACTACTGCTAGTTAGCAAGGAAATAACTTGTAAGAGGCTGCCTCTCTACAAATAAACTTCCTTCCAACAGATTGCTCCTGAACAAAAGCTCAAGGAAGAGGAAATACTGCAGAGGGGAAGCCTTTATACTAAATGGTGATCAAGGGTAGCAGTATCCATCTTGTCATTATCAATGACTGGAAGAGCCATCTCGGAACCGTTTTTGGTTAAGAGTCCAGTGTCAGGCTGCAGAAGAAAAACGACACATCGAACTAGTTATTTCATCAGTGCTGTTATGCTGAGGTTACTTCATGCCTGGTACAAGACAAACGCAGGAAATCCATTTTGATTATGTGGACTGCCCTTGCCTACACAATGAGTTTGGAAAATTCCTGGTGTGGATGTATTTAGCGAGCTTTTAGGACATACTTTGACAGCCAACTTAACCTGAAAGAAACTGGCTGCTGCACAGTGACATCAGCTTTACGTAGAAGAATTGGGTACATAAAGCTTTAAGGCTATCAAGTCCCACTGAAGGCCCGAGATGGTTACAATGTTTTGCATAGTAAAGAGCATAAGAAACATGCTGGTGACGCATCAGTGACAACTAAACCTTTTTACCCTGTGTTTATGTCCAAAACCACCTATAATTAATTAATACTCTTTCTATTCAGGATCCACTGAAAAGTACATTGAATTAGTACGTTATAATTCAAGAGAAACTTCACTTTACAGCATAGCAATTGCAATGCAATAATATTCCATCATATTACAAAGGAAGGACTTCCTATTAGAAAAGTACATTTACTGAACTTAATGCTGCAAAGATCACAAGAGGACACTGCAGGCAGTGAACATTAATAACATATTTCTGACTCAAAGTTTAGAAAAATAACATTTGACCCTGAGAAATTTACTGTATTAAAACTTAAAAAAATCTTTCAAAAGTAAAAATCTATCCAAGAGAAAAGAAAAAAAAGGAAAAAATCAGATTCTGAAAGAATCAAGGCTCAGCCAGTTTCATTTCAGATGCTCAAACTGCTGAGCTCTGGAACAAAAAAAGTTTTACCATCTTACCAGGAATTGTAAGAAAGATTTCCAATTAAAAAATCAAAACCAACACAAGACATTTTAGGGTATTCATACTTCTGTATCATTTCATTCTCTTCAAGGCCTCCAACTAAAATACAGGTTTTCAACCTAGGAACAAAAATTAAAAACTTGAGGTGGTTGAAAATAAAACTTAAAGCTTCAATGTCTTCCATTCCCCAAATCCTCTGGAAAAGCCAGTTACAGAAGCAAGTTCGTCAGTCTTTATGACTAGAGGAGCTCTAAGCAAGTTCTTACACCAGTTAAACAACTCTCTCAAAGATGGATCAAAATCAAAATAATGTTCCAAAAAATATAATGTTCTCCATCATAGGATCTTTTTTAGATTATTATTTTAACAATTTAAATATTTAGGAAGGTTTAGAAACAGTAAAAGGAAATAAACAGATGAAGCCATAAGGAAACCCTGCAGGCTTGGACAAAGGGAAAAAACAACCATCTGAGGATTCTGGCAATACAGGTATGGAAATGTAGTGAAAGAGTTTCTGCAAAGTTACCAATCACTGCACCAGGCTGTTGATTTCAGGTCAGCTTATTTTCTACACTTAGGTGTTAAGGGCAAGAAAACAGTCCTTTCTTCAGCAGTCTGTTCTTCTCTGCACGATTCGTTGAAATCCTATGACCTAAAGCTTGCACATTATTTATTCTGTACTGACAAAGCAGCATTCATACGATGTAATTTAAGCTATTATCTAATTCCCGTTCCTAATGTTTTCACGCTGTCACGAAGTTCAGGCTACTCTGGTTTTGCCCTCTCCAACAACCTTACAAAAACGCTGTGTGTCTGGATCAGCTCCCAGGGCCAGCACACCACATAGCCACACAAACACGAGCACTGGGCCTATGGGAGGGAGCAGGGTTAGCTGACAACCCAAGTGTACATCAATCTGAACTGATTTGGAACCACACCTTTACGTGTAAATTCAAACCCAGGCATATTAAACATGAAGCGAAGCAGTAAAAATGCAGTCTATTTTTCCTTCCCTCCCCTGAAAGCTGTTTCTCTATGGCAGCAATGGCTGAGCAGCAGAAGAAACAATCCTTGTTTATAATTTCAAGTATTAAGTGAAATGGGTGCCAAACTAGAATTTTATTATTACATCAGCCTTTAAAGAGATGTGAAAATAATCGCATACTACGCCTGACCTTGTCAGCAGTAGCTGAACTTCAGCCTTCAGGAGAAGCAGAGGAAGGACAGCTGTAAGCAGGAGCTGATTTCATCACTCAAGTGGAGTCTGCTTATCTCCTAAAACATACACAGACTCACGGTGCTGGTTTAGTACAGAAGCTTGCACAGAGATGGCTCCTCACATCCAGACGCATCCCAAAGTACTATCCACATTCCAGTCCTTCAGACTCAAGTCCCTAGATCTGCCCTGCTAGGATGCAATGCTTATGAACAAAATAAAAAACATGTGACTGGACATCTGTAAATCAAAATAAGAAAACATCTGCCACCTCTAGTGATTTTGGAAAACACAAAACGTGTATCAAGCCTACAGAACAGAGTGGTCTCCTTTAAAACAACACCAGAGTAAATAACTGAAAACCACCCCACGGTACAAAGGACCAAATAAAGATCCAAGTTAAAATTTTCTGTAAGCACTACTGAGACAGGACCTGAAACTATGTGAGACTCCATTTGGGAAAATCCCCTACCTGATACTACACGGATATTCCTCCTCAAACATGAAGAGCACAAAGATCAGTAACACCGGCCTGTTTTCCTACTATTTGTTGCTATCAAGATAAAGCCTATACAAGAGAGCTGTGCAGAAGTGACTGCATGCGGGATTCAAAGGGCCAGCTGGAGGAACTGATGCAGTGCAGATGCCTCCATGGCACCAGATGGGTATGGCTAACTCTGCCCTCCTACCAAGCGCTCCTCAAACCTGCTCTGTACAACCTGCTAGGACCGCGGCCAACCTGCGCTTTCTGCGAAGCTGCAATTGCTCTGCACTCTTGTGAATTCTTAGGAAACAGGCAAATGCTTTATTGTAAATCCTCCTAACTTTATGAAGGCCAAACAGATTTCAACTTGGTCTCATAAAGAACTTTTGTACAAAAGAAGATAAACAAAAGGGTCATAAGCAGCATTTAAAATAACCTGTATTAAATACCTAAAAAATATACTCTTCTGCATAGAATAAAGGAAAGTGCAGCTACAGCATAACATTCCATACGACAAGAAATAGCTAATTTATGAGTGGTATACAATTAACTGTTGTCTCTCATCACTGAGACCGCAGCAACTACAGACATATTTATTGGGAAAATCAGGTTAAAAACCAGAAAAGTATTAGGCTGTTTCATTACGCCTGTAAAGCAAGTGCAAATATTTAAAACTCTCTTTAGTAGAAAGCAAAGCTGATAGATAATTCTCACAAGTTAATTTTCTCTTGGTATTACTTGGAAAGATGAAATAGCCTTTGTTCTTTTAGAATCCAAATTAAAAGTAAATCCCCATTTGGCATCTGTTTTGTGCAAAAAAAGAAATTAGAAAGCTTGTAAACGGGCAAGCTTTATCTGTGCTAGGAAAACTGAAGGTTTATAGGATTATAACTCTTCGTTTGCTTCTAACTTTTGTTCTGCAATTCCCCTGGTGACGAAGCACAGAATAGTATTAAATAAGCCTGGGAGACTGATTTCAACTGCTCGGAAGAACAGAGAAAGGCTCTAAGAAACGGAGAATCGGGAACTTCAGGAAAAGCCAAAAAAGTGCTGTCTGCTTTTGATAGGAAACAAGCAACTTTTAAATATCTTTCTACTTCTTGTATTTGCATGCCTAAACAGGAGAATGAAAAGCACTTATCTAGTCAGTTGTTTAAATAGCTTCAATTTGCTGTTTGGTTGGTTTTTTTTTAAATAAACTTATTTTATTGATTATAACTTGGTACTACGATTTGGTAAATGAGATATTTAAAATAAATAAAAATAAATATCGCATATATATTTCAAGATCGCTTGTTTCTATAATGAATTAGTGTCTGCACTGCTAGATTTCATTTTCCTTCGCTTTTTTCAAGCTTTGTCGCCACTTACGAATGGCAGTTCCAGAGCTACTGGCTACTACACAAAGAGCACCGCCCACCGTCCACCAAGTTGGTAGATGGTTAAGAAAAAGAATCTGCAAAATAAAAGCAAACACCACATCCATTGTTTTCATTATGGCTACAGGTCCGGCTTTCTCTATCTGCAATGCTTTTGTGAGAAATATCTGACCCCCTAATCCTAACATGCCTATTAGTATTAGAAAAACCCTATCTTTACCACAATAGGGTAAACGCCATTCATTCATAACAAACAATGCTATAACACATCCGATTAAACCAATGACTGCGTAATACCAAATTGACAAAAAATAATGCACAGATTTCCCCACCTTCCTCAGTATAACCAAAGTCGACGCTGCAGATACTGTGCTTGTAATTGCTGCTATAGTTCCTTTAACGTGATCCGTGTAACTTCCTTCAATTCCTGTAACGTTTGGCCCAAACAAAAACGGGGGTCTGGCAATGAGGATCACTCCAGTGATTGCGAAGAGGGTGAAGAGAAGATCCCAAAGACTGTATTTCTCTTTGAGAAAAATCCATGCCAGCAGCGATGTGAAAACAGGACTGCTAAAAGTTATAACAGTGGCATCAGCCAGTGGCATGACTTGGAAAGCGTAGTAGAGAAGAATCATTGCGCTAGAGCCAAGGAATCCTCGGAAGAGAAGGAAAAGTCTTTTACCTTTTGGTCCCAGAAACCCTGTTCTGAAAAACAGAAACGTCACGTTAACGTCACTGGCTTGCTTATTTCATGACCAATATGCAATCACATTTAATTACACACTTTTCTAGATAAGGGACTTACCTCGATTGTCAAAATATTTTTAACTGGTCACAGACCAATTTATTCCCATCACCACCCCTAATCACAATCAGAGTCTGGAACCCATTCTTCTAGCTATTAATTTTTTGCTTGCAAAATAACCCAAGAGTATCTACAAATTACCTTCTGTTTCTTTTTTTTTTTTTAAGACCACCACTTCATGGAAGATCAATACATTTGGTATCATCCCTGTGGAAACCTCTACAATTCAGGGAGTCAAAGATTTTCAGTTTTCTGAATTGTATTAAGAAACTAACAGCTAAGCCAAACCAATACAATTACGAAATTGAAGCCTGAATTAAAATAATATTGCAATCTGATTTAAGTGAGTGATAATTCTAGATCTGTTTTTAAGAAATAACTTTAAATTTAAATGTTTGTTACACTTACTTGTAGTATATTAAACCAGGAAGAACGAATGCCATTTGGAAAACACATCGAAATGCACTCACTTCCACCGAATGAACATCTTCTATTTTTTTAAGAAATAAAGAGGCCACTGAGAAAAGGAAGGCAGACAGTACGGTATAAAACAGACCAAGTCCTGGACAGGCAGCTTTCTCCTTTGTTCCTGCAACAGATGAACGCCAGTTAACAACGCTCTACTTGATGTCTCAGGTCAGGCGGCTCCACATACTGCAGTGGTCCATACATTTGTTTCTTTTGCTTCCCCTGGTTACAAGTGCAAACACCATGTGCGTTTACAAGAGCTACCTCAAAAATAGGTTTCACTGACTACCACAGCTCTCCTTTGCATCTTAAAACGGGAGATAAGAGATGGACTCTAACACTTTGGATACAAAACTTGTCACAGTTCTACCCGAGTTCGTAGGCTTTGCTTCTCGGAGGCATCAGACCGGTTTGGGGGATTCACTGTAGGACCACCTGTCTGATTCTGACCACTACCCAAGAACCCATAAATACAACTGACTGTGAAATGGCCCGCGGTCAGATTCTGAAACCTATTACCTAGAAATCATCTGATTACTGAGTAAGTTAATTAAGGTTCCTAAGCAACAATGTAATTTCCTTTCTCACAAACACACACGTGTAAAATTGGGTACAGATCCTCACTTCTGTTATACCTCATGTTTATTTGGCAGCTAAATCACCCTAAATTTTACCTAGACGTACAGAAGTTTTATATAACATTTTTATCTTCATATAAGAATCCATGTATTTTCTTCAGATAACCATCAAATGTACCTTTTAAGCAGAAGAAATTCAAGTGACTGATTTTAAAACATCACAGGCCTGCTTGAAGTACTGATATCTATCACAGTTCCATGAAGTTTCACCTTAGTTTATGCTTATTTATCAGACTTTCTCTTCCTGAAGTAGTTACCCAAGTCTAATGGTTCCTATTCGAGCTTCCCGATTGCTTCAGGCACTCTTCACGGACATACTCTTCCTCATTTTACTCATCTTTCTCCACCCTCAACTATTTAAAACAAAAAAGAAAAAAAAAGACCAAAAAAAAGACAAACGGAGAAAGTGAACTGCCGCGGACCTCAACACCACCTCCAAAGAAACCAGCTTATTTCATTATTGCTTCGCTGCATGAGAGGAACAGACTTTCCACTGAACCAAGAGGTGAACACCATGGAAAACAGAATCCATCCAAAAATTTGAGTGGGATGTTACCTCGCTCTCTCTTTGCTTTCTGTCTGCACAACACATTGGGAGTTACCTTTTGTTCTACACCACCCTGTAAAGATAAGGGCGAGAGCTCCATGTCCCTGAGGCAATGTTTCGATAAAAGGGTGCCTCACACATGAGTGTGGGAGCCCATGAGCCTCAGGGATCCTCTAACACATAATCAGCAGGACACGCCTGTGAGCTGCTTAGCAACTAAACACAGTTTTGAGGGGTTTTTGGTTTGGGTGTGTGGTTTTTTGTAAATTAACAAGACTTGTCACAAACCATTTTGATCCTCCCTGAGATCAGAACTCAAGGCTGAGAAGCTGCTTCTTACCACTCCAGAGCTAAGACTTTGGGCTGACACAGTGTGCACAGCACTGGTCCTGGCTTCACAGCTGAACCAGAACTTAAAGTAGGCAGAAGGCCGACAAGGAATCCAGCCACGCTACAGCGGAAAATTAATGAGTTTCTACGAGAAATATTTCTATGTAGCAACAGCCACTTACATAAAAGTGACTATAAAAACTACCGCTAACCAACACCGGACCGGGACACCAACCAACTGTGAAACAGTGGATTTAAAAAGTGTTCGTGAATTATGTAATGTCCTAATCCACAGTCACAACAGAACGACAGAATCAACAACGCCTCTAATACTAAAGCAAGGACTCAGACTGGCGTATAACTGAAATGGGAAATCCAGACCGAAGCTGGCTTATGGGTGAACACGGCACAAACAGAACTATTAACTTTTATTTCAGGCATGATAGCTTGTCTGATTACTACAGAAGAAAGCCAATCTAAATAATGGAAGTGTTGAAATGGAAAACCAATCAAATTAAAGCAAAGTAAACTGAAAGGATCTTATACCCAGAACTAAGCTTTGGATTTGAAGGAACAAAGAAAAGCCAGAAGGAACTCCTTTTTTCGTAAGCCGCCCAATATACCAAGCCTATCCAAAACAGGACCTTGTAATACTAGAATTGAAACCATTAACATCTCGTATTGCCAAAGCATGTACTCAGGGCGATGAGAAAGTATTTTTTTTTCCTTTCAAAAACAAAACTGTGCAAGTTCTTCCACCAAAAACAAGAATTGCAGCTCTGAAGAGTACCTATTTCAAAATATGTTGTAAGGAGAAGTTATTAGGTTAAGACAATATTCCCATCCCACAAAATATTAAGCCTCCAAACACTAGCCCAATGCCATCAAAATACTCAAGCATCCAAGTTCTCTTTTCTGAGTGGCTACAGATGTGAGATTTGGTTTTCCAGTTGTATTCCCTGGCCAGCTCCACATGTAAGGCTTTCAAACAATCTTGCTGTTTAAGTCCTAGTCAAGTATCTCCCACTGCACACCATTTCCTGTGTAAACTCTTTTTGTTTGCGTTTTAATGCCATGCTTTCTTGCAAACAGTTTTATACTTGCAAAATGCGTGCAGTGAAGTAAAGTACACTCCTCACATGCATCTTGAGAGCAGTAGCAGAGGCAGAAGAACACTGGCTGCGGGGAAGGTGGTCAGTGAGACGATTCTCCCAGACCATCAGGAAAGCCAGAAGAGAGTGATCTGTTCTTCACGCTGTAAGAAGCAGAACAGCTCTCCCAGACTTCAGGAAAGTGCCAGGAGCACAACAGCCTGCATGTGAACTAACCCTGGTCACGCAGGCATGATTCATAAAGTTCAGCCATTGATTCAACCGACATTTCACCAGGCAGACTACCAAAAAAAACCCCCAAAAAACCAAAGAAATGTTTTTGGTGAATAAATGTAAGTTCTTCAGGATTTCAAATACTGCCTTTTTCCCCAGGCTTTGCTTCAGAAGATACTCTAACGTGACTTTCACTGGTGAAGTATGCTATCTCTATTGGCCTCTCCACAGCTCACTAGCTAACAAAGATTGCCATTTTATCCATTTTCTGCTGGGAAGTCAGTTATAGCCTGTATTTTAATAAGAAATACATTTTCAGTGAAGTTTTTTTTTAAAATTACACATGCTAAAGTACTTCAGATAACAACTTCAAACTTTCATTTTAACACGGCATTTATGTTTTAAAAGGAAGCCACATTAAACCTACAAAAACATGTTGCGTATTTCACACTAAGTTTGCAGCTTTAGCAATTCAAAATGACCAAAAAGTGAAGCACAGATTAAGACAAAATAGAGTACGCTCTCACTAAAGCAAGGTAAGAATTACCAAGGAACTCATAGTTGTGAGTATAGGGACTTGTTGAACAACACTCATGCTGCTTCTCAACATATTTACAGTGCCAGGAGTTCACACTGCTAGAAGACACCTCGATTTACCCCAAACTGCCCAGTCTTTAAAACTTGGACAGCAGGAAGCACCGTTTTCCGGAGGATAATCGTTACCGAAGCTCTCACAGCCTCACGTGTGGAAGGGACCGAGCAGCAGCCCGCTCCCAGGGACGGGGGCTCGCCCAGTGAAGTGGAGGGGAAGGAAGCGGGCGAGGCCGAAGGCGCTCGCAGTGGGGCCGGTGTCCCCCGCCGGACACCAGGTGTAAGCCGCC